CTAAGTAGGCTGAAACCAGCAGTCCCAAAGGGGCTTGGAGGAGGGAGCAGGAATGGCCACTATCCAAGAAAGAGTTCAGTCACAGAGGACTCTTTCCCAGCCTTAGCTAGAGAACCCAGATTTTGAACTGAGGGTTTTTGATATACATACATACATATATACAAACACTTCTAAAGGAAGCACATACCTTCCACGAGTTTCCTACTTCTTATCTTCCTTCTTCTGGGTGTCCTTTGCTGCAAAGTTGCCATTTTTCTTGTTTTTCTTTCGACCTACAAGTGTTGTGCTTCCCAATCTCCCTAGCCTTCCTGCTTTATTACCTCAAGTGTCTGCACCTGTGCTTCCTTCCAAAAGGTCTAGAGTTCAAAATTGCCAACTGTAAAGAGGAAAAGCTTTCTTGAAGCTTTTAAGTTAACTTCTTTCTTTCATGGGAAGCTGAAAGGTCCAAGAACCTTCTAGTCTTCAACTGAATCCAGATAATTTAATTCCCACTCTATAGTTAGGAACACTATGCAGGAGGGAGGAAATGAGTACTCCTTTCCTATCATGCTTCCCTCTATGACCTCTTAGAACTACAAACCCATGTTTTTGTTTGCTTGCTTTCCTTCCTTTGTGATTCTTTTTTTCATTTTATGTCATGCCAATACCATAATTACAGAGTAGAATTTTTCAACCTTGACCTCTTTAAGATATGTGAGCCTCACTTTCCAGAATGCTGGCTGGGGAATTCTAGGAGTTGAAATCCACCCATCTTAAAGGGGCCAATGCTTGCTTGTTTGTTTGGTCAACCATTCTTTGTTTTCTTGTTTGTTTAGCATATGTTGATGTTACTTTGTTCAGGAGACTACAGTGCCAATGTAGAGTACATAGTAGCTTGGCTGTCTAAGACTGCTAGCCCGTTTGGTTCATACTCACACATTTTCCAAAGTACATCCCAGGGTGCTTAGTTCCATACCAGAAAGAAAGACAAACAGCGTTATCCAGGGACTTTCTCGCTCCAACAAAGTCACCTCACAAATGGGCATTGAACCAGGAAGGCCCAGCACTGGCAGGCTTCTGACTGTCTGCACAGCATGACAGCTCATCTTCCCACCTAAGTAGTAGTTGTTTATGTACTTGCATTAAACATGGTTTGAAACGGATAGGTGGGCAGAAGCTGAGGCAAATGATGGGAGCTCATCCCAACACACAGTGCTCGGACTCAAGCCGCAGGAGCACAAGCTCCCTCCAGCATCATTAAGCCACTAAGCCACCATTCCTCTGGGCCAAGGATGGGAAACACTGTTATGGAGAGTATTCTTTGGATTAATATATTAACCAAATTTCTGGAGCAATTTTTTCACAGGCTCTTGCTGATTATGATTCCCATTTCCAATTTACGACAGTTACATTGGACTGATAACTGTCTCATCCCTATCATGTCAGCCCATCCCATCTGGCCAGGTAGTTCAGGTAGGGAAGGCATGTTATGGATCCCTTCTATTAAAGAATTTTGACTGACAAGAGTCCAGGAATGGGGCCTTCTTTGCTGTGGCTCCCACATGTGGCATGCTCTCCTCCCCAAAGAGAGAGCAGCCCGCATCTCTCCTAGCCTTTTGTAGGAGTTTAAAGAAGTTTGAAGGCCTGGCTCTGCCCACTGGCACGAGGCTTAGTTAGCAGCACACAACCCTTGGGGGAAAGATTGGTGCCTTCCACCCACCTTTTGTCTTTTAACCTATTTTATCCTTGCTTTTTATCTTTTATCTTTTTAAAGGTATTTTATTTTTATGTGGTTTTTAGGTTTTAATTGTACACCACCAAGAGTCACTCTGTGAGATAGACGGTATCTAAATTGAACAAATAATAATGTCTTAGTTAGATTTTGAATAGTTATTTTTTTATGTAGATCAGAATTCCATCATTAAAGGCATGAACATGTTCCCCCATTCTCTTTTCTCCCTCAACTTATTTCTGATATTAATTGAAAATATTTTAATGACAAATAATTTTCTGCCTAACTTCAAAATGGCTGCAGTTCCTAGGCAAAAGTCTTCACTGAAAGAAGTCCTCATGCCGCCCATTTTCCATTTTTAATTGTAACTACAAGTAGGAGTTTTAGGAGATACAAATTGTCATTTGAAAAAAAAAATAGCATGCAAGTCCACCCTACCTTAGCCGTCCAGATGCCTCCAATGCACCTCCAGGCAGAGCAATTGAGCAAATTCTAGTTCAGCACATCTGGACAGCATCAATTGGGGAAAGATGATAAAAACTCCATTCCTGGAAACTACTGCAAACGTTTGTCGGAAGACTCGGAATGATGTTATTTAATTATCATTGTAAGTTATTCAAGAATCTGGGAATGAATTTCCCAAACTTGGAGATGAGAAGAGATATACAGATAATCCTTGATTTACAAGCATTCATTCAGTGACCATTGAACAGAAGCACTGATGAAAGTGACCCATGACTGGTTTTAAAAAATATAATCGTCATAGCATCCCCATTGTCATGTGATCAAAATTCAAGTGCTTGGCAACTGGCATGTATTTATGACAGTTGCCTTGTCTTGGGGTCATGTGATCACCGTTTGTAACCTTGCCAGCCAACTTCTGACAAGCAAAGTCAAAGGAAGAAGCCAGAGTGGCTTAAAGACTACATGTTGTGGTTAGCCGGCACCAGGTGTGGCAGCTGAGGAGAGCGAGGACTCAGATGAGGGGCCAGGACCATTAGGGAGTGGACTGCTGCCTTCAGAGATTTGGGGGCTGGCAGCAGTGATGAGGTTCCCGAGGAGCCTATGCCAAGTGCATGTGCGTGCAGGATTGCTTGCAGGAAAGAGCAGCTACAACAGCACGGGTGACTTGGGAGTAAGGCTGCAAGGTAATGGCCCCTCCTTCAAGAAGATAAAAGCCAGCTGTGAAGCGAATGTTCTTTGCAGAAGGCAAAGACATTTTGAAACTCCAGCCTCGTGGACATTCCAGTATCCTGAGTTTATATTTGAAGATTCTTGTATTGCAAATTATTTCTTGTCTGTTATCTTTTGGCAGTCTCACGGAGTTTGGCAAGGTTTGTGCTAATCACAACTAATAATTTTGCAGAAGCCTTAAAAGGTTTCAGTTCCCTTTGGATTGTGTTTGATTTGTTGGAAAAGGGAGTGGGTCAGAACACTACATGACTCACTTAACTGCAATGATTTGCTTAACAACTGTGGCAAAAAAGGTCATAAATGGGGCAAAGCTCCCTTAACGACTGCCTTGCTTAGCAACAGACATTTTGGGCTCAATTGTGGTTGTCAGTCAAGGACTACCTGTAATGCTGAGCTTTTTCTAGATATGTTGCATTCCAATTATAGTGTTGGTCTTGATTGTTGTTGTTCAATTACTAAATCATTTGCAACTTCTCACAGCACCATATTCCACAGCAAGCCAGCTCCCACCCCCATCCTCTCAGTAACTGTCTCCTGGAGTCTGCCCAAAGTCATGCCCACTCGCGCCAATGACACCATCTAACCATCTCATCTCTGCCATCCCCTTCTCCACTTGCCTTCAATCTTTCCCAACATAGGGTTTTGTTCCAATGAGACAGAATCAGAATAGAGTTGGAAGAGACCTTGGAGGTCTTCTCGTCTAGCCCCCTGCTCAAGCAGGAGATCCTATACTATGTCAAACAAATGGATGTCCGGTCTCTTCTTAAAAACCTCCGGTGATGAAGCACCCATAACTTCTGAAGGCAAAGCTGTTCCACTGGTTAATTGTCCTCACTGTTGGGAAGTTTCCGCTTAATTCCAGGCTGCTTCTTTCCTTGATTAGTTTCCATCCATTGTTTCTTGTCCTGCCTTCTAGGGCTTTGGAAAATAAGTTGACCCCCTCTTCTTTGTGGCAGCCCCTCAAAAATTGGAAGACTGCTATCATGTCCCCCCTAGTCCTTTTGTCTAGACTATCCATATCCAGTTCCTGTAACCGTTCTTCATATGTTTTAGTCTCCAGGCTGTTATTCATCCTATTCAAGTTGCTCTTCTCTGCACTTTTTCCAAAGTCTCAACATCTTTTTTGTAATGTGGTGATCAAAACTGGATGCAGTATTCCAGGTGTGGTCTTACTAAGGTTTTTATAAAGCGGTACTAATACTTTATGTGATTTTGATTCTAGGCCTCTGTTTACAACCAAGGATTATATTAGTTTTGTATAGAGGGTATCCTGCTTGGGCAGGGGGGTTGGACGAGAAGATTTCCAAGGTCTCTTCCAGCTCTATTCTGATTGATTGATTGATATTTAATCTCTTTTTCACAAACATACACAAAAACCCAGCTATACATTTTTTGTTACACAGTTGTTTTCCCTCTGAGGAGGCAAATATAGCCTGGGACTAATTTACTATAAATATACAAGTAAGAGACTTCTTTTTAACTGTTATACCACTAAAGAAGAAAACATGAACATTCCCATCATTTGGAATCTCAACATTATTACAGCCATCAGTGGCTAACACTTGGGTTTTTTTTTCTCCTATATTGTTTAGGGTGGGGGGGGAAATGGGTTCTAATAACAGTTGCCACCTTGCTAAGTCAGTTTATTGATTCTATGTGGTGGTATATTATTTTTTTCAACAGTCCTCAACCTTCTGTTCTTCAGTTATGTGGGATTGAAACCCCCATCATCTCTAAGCATGACTAGAATTATTATCCAAGACAGTTGGAACAGTCTGTAGCTCATTCCAAAGTTTTAGGGTAGGGCAGGCAAGGAAATGGGAAGGAGGACTGCTTTTTATTTTCTGTCATCCAGTAAACTTGGACGGGGACTGAAGGAAATGTAGGGGTTTGCCCAGTTACATGTCTGCTATGGAACACAAAAAAAAATGGACAAGTTTTCTACTTACAAAAGGACACAGAGAAGAAAACAACAAGAAAAAAAGAAAGGAGCAAAATTTTTTGGGGGAAATTATTTCTTCCATTGCATTACCCACCACGTATTGTCACTGTTCTTCTATTACAAGTGATATTCAAATGATACCCATTTTCTATCTCAGGCCTGGGTGGCACGCAGTTTTTTTTGCCGTAATGTTTCCCCAACTCGTTCTAGAATTGGCATCCCTTTTGACTTCCTGGTCATCGTTTCCTCGTGCATCACGATGTCACCATCAGATCCTGCTCGCGGGGGCAAAGGAGCCACCGCAGGATTTGATGTCACTCCTGCAGATTCTGAAAACTCAACATCCATGAGCAAGGAGTGATCAGGCATCAGTCCTGCTGCATCAGTGAAAGCTCCCAACCCTGTGGAAGGTTCTGTAGTTCTGGAGTATCGCTGGGGAAGATTCATCATCTCATTTGCTGTTTGGAGATCGCTGGTGGGTTCCATATCAATATCACTGGGACTTTCTGTTGAAGGAAGCCACGCAGCAGGCAGGGCAGGCAGGGAATTTTGGTCCTCTATTTTCAATTCCTCTATCAGATCGGTGACAGAAACGTTAGCATTTTGATGCCTGGAGTACTTAGAAAAGTTTGTGCCATGGTCAAGATGAATTGAAAATTCTTCCCAGAATCTGCCACTAGCATCTGAAAGCTATTAGAACAAAGCAATATGTCAACCAAAAGGATGAAGCACGGGCAGAAAAAGGAATTTAAACCATTCAGGTACTCAGAGGTTCAAATAAAGAGGATGTAGTTCCATTGTATTTTCTGATATGTATTTAGGAGAGGGAGAAATAGCTCACCAGATCTCCTTTACTCAGTGTTCCTACCATGATCAATATATTCTCCTACCAGCCAGTGAATATCTAGTAAATCAAACTGTGGAGAAAACCAGTGAAGTTACTTGCAACTCTACATGTTGCATTTTTAACTAAAACCAAAAATAGAGTCACAAGTTGTCTATCGCTCAATTAGGGCTTGATTAGAAGATAAATGTCTCTTTGCATGCTAGACTTATATTTAGTAGTTGCTGTGCATTTTATCTTATTCAAAGTCATCTATCCACATCAGGGGTGTCAAACTCAAGGTGCTTAGATCTGGCCCGCAGGGCCGCCCTGGAAACAGTGAAGGACTGGCCCGCGGCACCTCTGCCAGAAAAAAACAGAGCTCAGAAGGGTCGCATGAAGCCTACTTGGGCTCAGTTTTCGGTCACGACGGCCTCCTGCAGACCTCTGCCAGCAAAAACGGAACTCGGGGAGGCTCCATTTTCACTGGCAGAGGACTGCAGGAGCCCATCACAGCCAAAAACAGAGCCTTGACGAGTAACATTGAACTGCCCCCCCCCCACACCCCTGCCAAACAAAACCCTGATGCAGCCCTCAATGAAATCGAGTTTGACACCCCTGATCTATATACTCTAAGAAACAATGACTGATGACAAAGGAGAAAACAAAGGGTATGTGACTCAGTTGAACTTGCTTCTGTTCTCAGGAGAGAGTAGGATAAACATCAAATAACCTTCCATTATAAATCTGGACAATTTGGATACTTAGCAAAAGATAATTGTGGCATCATTTACAGATTGGCATCTGCCAGATATTCTCAAATGTGTCTTTCCCCCTGGTGGCACTGTCCTCTGAAATTCTGTTTCCTCTGATAGTTAAGAAGTCTCTGTTATTTTTCTGTTTTAAAAGTGGGTATGAGCTTCAACGTTTTCTTAGAGGAAGTGATACAAAATTATATTAAGCAAGTCATAACAAACCTATGGGGGTGTTATATAAACCTGCATTGTAATTTTTCCATGTTTCAATAGGACTGAGATCATAGATGTCTAGTACAAAGGTGCTTTTCCAAGAGACAAGTGGACTTTCGGGTTTTTCTTTGAAGACGTTTCACCTCTCATCCAAGAAGCTTCTTCATCTCTGATGAGCTTCTTGGATAAGAAGTGAAACGTCTTCCCAGTAAAACAGAAAGTCCAGTAGTTGCTTCTTGAAAAGAGGCACCTTTGGGAGAACCATGTCCTAGATGACTGAGAATCTTCAATAGATGTTGTTCCTAACTTCCATAATACTGAGACAACCCAAACAAGGACTTTAATCTGGAGGATACCACACCGAGGAGGTGTTTTTTTTAACACAGTTCCAAGCTTGAATTCACTGCTTTAGTGATACACTGATTTTGATGGTAAATATATTCTGTGTTTTAACCCTAACCATTCTGGCCTTGGTATAACAAGGACTTATAACATACCAACCTTGCTATATTATGATGTGAGCAGAAATGATTTGAAAGAAAACAACATTGGGGAGAGAGGAAGATTTCTGGCACACAAGACTTGTCACTATCTGTACCTTTCTGGTACAACCAGCCTTATATCCTTTTCCCTCTCACCCAGCGAGATAATTCCCCTAGAGCACCTTGTGGATCAAGTTTGTCCTTCTTTTCCGCAGTTTTATGGATCCAGTTGTGGCAATGACATTAAACGCTCCTTTGGTGCAGTTTCTTCTCTTCCACTGTTGATCTTCAAAGAACCAGAAAGGAAATATGTTGGTCATCATGTAGTTATGGCTGTGCGAAGAGATTCATGCTTGGCGAGCCACAATTGGTTCAGACTAAGACTTTATACCAGGGATGCTCAGGTTTTGTTTCTGATTCAAGAGCTATATTTGCTCTTTAACTAGTATGTTAGAAGGAGGCCTCTGTGCTAAATTATCTTAATTCTGTTTAAAGTAGAAAAATATGAATTGGGGCTAATGTGATTATCCTCCAGACATATATTTAATATTTTTTTCCTTTTGTTACATTAAAAATTACAATTTGTTAAGACGTTTTATAGGTCTATGGAGACCAGCCATTTAGATTTTGACTTGGGTGGGTCCCAAGGAGATACTCACACTGGGAGTTTCAGAACTGGCAGGTGTTTTCTGGCCTCTGCTGCCACGCAACCCTCATGATGCAGAGAATAAAATGCCTACAACTGATTGGCAGCATTCTTGGTGTGAAATCCTCAGTTGGAAAGCATAGGCACAGTCCACCTACATTCTTTGTTAGATGCACTTTGCTAGTTTAGTCCTACATCTTCAATCTTGCTTAGAGAATACCTTCTAACCAATCTACTCACCACAAATGACTCTGTTGTATTGTACCTATAAATCCAAGAATTGGAATGTATGCTAGAAAGGAACTCTAGGAGCTATAGTCTCGACACAACTGGGGTAGAAAATTTCAGCTGGCAAATAAGAATGCAAAATCATATGTATATGTCCAAATCCAAATTACTCGTGTTAAGAAGGACCAGTGCATGGTTACCCAGCTCATGCACTGTTTCAAGCACATCCTAGGATCGATCACATTACAAGACTCTAAGCTCCATTCAAACTCCAATTAGTCCAATTATAGAATTGACAATGATTGAAATATTATATAATAAAGCTGAAAAATATACAAACCTACTTCATGTGCCACATGACCTGTTTTTTCTTGGAGGCCATCTGGAGGCATATGCAGCATATCCTGTTCCACACAAAATTAGTTCATAAAAACTCACAAGAATATTTTAGAGATATTTTTAAAACTATGTGATCTGTTCCTGCCTAAAATTACTCTGGAACTTTGCAATGATATGTTATTGCATGAATTGCTTGAAAAAAATACCATACAAATAATAGAACCATTGAGCTGAAATGGATCCATTATTTCCCCGTTTTTCCAAAAGACTGCAGATCCCACCAAGACATCCCAAATGTGCTTTTTTGTTTCTTCAAAAGGCAACTGGACTGTTGTTTTTTCTTGAGGAAGAAATGGTTGTTTTCCTTGAAAACATTGTACTTCTCATCCAAGGAGCTTCATCAGTTTAAAGTGAATAAAAGAACTAAAGTATGCATGAGGTGGAACTGGGATGTTCTATTATTCTACTAGCCACTTCCAAAATTTCCTGAAAGGGCAGAATGTTCCAAAGGACAGGAGCCAGAGTAGAAATGGCTCTTCTCTTAGATCCTGCCAGCCCCTGTTCCTGCTCACTAAGAAAGGATTTTTCAAAATGACCATCATAGCATTAGTATTTCCTATATTATTATTAACACGCTCTGGTGCTAAGGAGTTCTACTCCCCCTCCCCACCTGGAAAAAAATCTGTTCCAAAAGCAGAACACAAGCAGAGGAGTTTCAGTTTCAGTTTTAGTTTTAGTTTCACAGCACCAAGCAGTTTTAGTAAAGAACAGATGAGCTAAGCCATGCCCAGGCTCCTTGCTGTCTCCTTCTTGCTCACATAGCAAATACTGTTTGCATTTCCAAACAGCCCTCAACTCTCTCACACACTGACATCTCACACACTGAGATGAATACTGATGGATGCTGGTAGGCAGAGGCAGATTTTTTTCCCTTATTTTCCTCCCCAAAAACTAAGCCCGACCACATAGTTTCATAGCAATTACCACCATAATTTTTAGCTTTCCCATTGTTCCAATTGTAGGGATATTGAGCTCTACTTCCCTTTAGATTAGATTAATAACTCTGATTATAAAAGATCATGTGCACTTGAAAATCTCACTGCGGCACTTTCAAAGCAAAGACTTTCCCCCCTCCTTCGTTCAGCCTTCAGAGCCAGGAAGAGTTGTAGATCGGAGAAAGCGGCATTCTTTACCTTGAAGTTGGCTTCACAGTTTGGTCTTGTCCTAGATTCCACTGTACATTTCTAATTTGGAGAAAAGAATCAACAACTTGATTAATGGCTAATAATGAACAACTTTACTAAGACTGAAGTGTCAGACTATTGTAAACTATCCTTTAAAAATGGCATTTTACCAAATACTGTTTTTTTCAAAATGTTTTATTACAGTATATTTCTAACAGTGCAAAACTATTGTTACTTTTTATTACAGGTAGGCAACAGATACAGGAAGGTACAGGAAGGTAACAGATTTTTTAAAAATATTTCCACAACTTGGTATTCAGAAGGTGATCTCCCAGAATATAAACTACTTATAAATACCATAGTGGTTGGCGGAGTTCTTTCACTTGAATTTCTATACACTGTTATGATGATGTAATATCTTAATGTTACCCATGTTTTTTAATCTTAATTCAGGAGAGGTCCATCATACTATTGGAGCCCAGTTCCCAACAACCTTGGACACCATAAATCATGGTTAGGATGACAAAATTGGACAACTATGGTCTGTTCATTGTATCTGCGCTATAAAGCTAGAAACATGGTTTATTCTTGCTAAAGCTCTTGGTAGACAGTTCTAAACATTAACTGGCTGTGAAATGAAGACTTTTCTTTTCTTTTGCCTGTATTAGATCTACTCACTGGTTGACACAGGCCAAATTAGAAAGCATGGCAAATGAAGGTGAATATTCATGACCCAGGATAACGTTGCAGGATCCAATCTGGGTGGATCATTGGGACTAGAGGTTTAGTCTTCCAAGTTTTTGGACTTAGGAGGGCTGCTTTATCATCAGTTTATCAAGTACTTAGAAACCAAGGGCTTGGCAGCACAAGGAAACAACAGTCAGTGACTTAATAGCTGGCCAACAATAACTAAATCAGTCAATAACTCCCAATCAATAACTAAAAAGCCACAACCAGGCACCGTATACATGCCACATACAGAATAGCCTCGAGGATGGGTTCCAGCATGAGTCCAAACAAGCTGGGAAGACTAAACCTTTCAATTCCTAGTCTCCCAATTTGTAGCTTGGTGTCTTAACCACTATACTGGGTCTCTGCCAGATAATATCATACTTCAGTATGTAACACTGAATGTTAAAAAATATTACAATGATTTAATGTTTTATAAATTTTGTAGAGTATTATATGTTTCATATATTACCAAATATGTTAATAATTAAGGGGGAAACTGAAGGTCAGGAAAATAAACTGTTTACCGTGATTCTGTCTCCGAGTCCTTCCATAGAGTCTGGAAACTTGGTAAAATCCATTAGAGTAGAAGTCTACAAGTTAGGGCGGGGGGAAAAAACTTGCTGAAGGAAGGATGATCTTCTACCAGATTCCCATATCCAAAATGGTGACTTCTATAGCCTTGGCGTGTTTTCATCCATTATTGAAAAAGCTGGAAGTGAGTTAACCACTGAAAACCAATGGCCTTTATTGTGTACTTGAGCCTTTCTTACCCCAAACAGGTGTTTGGGAAAAGGGGTTTTAATGTTACTCCCACCTATAGTGACTCAGTACAGTCTGCCCAAAATAACTGGTAGGCCCTAGTGGTTATGTTTTATAATTGTGTAGTGTAGATAAAAAAAGCAGGAAAGCTTTTCCTCTTCAGTTTTCATGGAGCCTGATTACACTTAGGAAAATTGTGTGAGAATGACAAGAAAAACGAGTTGGAGCAGAATTGCAAGATGGAAGGAAAGACAAGCACTTTATGCTGCCCCAAAACTCTTTCGGGTGTGTGAAAAAGGAGTTGACTATCAAGAGTAACACTTAGTTTGTGCTAACACTCAACTTTTTTGCAGAGAATGAAGCAAATTGCCTTCCAGATGAGTTAACCTAACTCATACCTACTAAATCGTGAATGGTAAACTAATGTATTCGTATCAGAATCATTCCAACTAGAATGAGCCTACCTTTCAGTTAACTTTATTACACTCCAAATGCAAGTCAATGTATCTAACTTGCAAGACAGACATCTAAATGCAAGCGAGGTATCTAACATCAGGACAATCATTCCATGCCATGTTACAGTTGTTACTATAACAGCATATGTGCTATGGAATATTCTCTATTATGACATCACTCATCAATATGAGAGGTTTACCCTCATAAAGAGTATCAGTATTTTGTAAGAAAACCATTTGAAAAATAACAAAAAGAAGAAGCAGGGATCAGGACAAGGAGTTATAATTATGGTCTCTAATCACTTGACTAAGGGTTGACAATACAAATGGAAAATACATGCTGTATATTCTTAAACTGAGCTTAGCTTTCTGGTCATGATGCACTAACAATTTTCAGTATTATGTCTGCACTTCAGCCATTTTAGAAGACATTCTTACATTGATTTTATAACGTAAGATTTATTCTGATGTTTTATTTAACTCAACCCTCAGTTAAATTACTTTGATAGCTTTGAACTGGTTTACTGGAAGAATCCCAGTAGATGTATACAGTTGCAAATTCCTGCCATCTAGCAATGAAGCCATGTGGGATGCCCTGATTAGGACCTTGATGAAATATGTTAACAGTGAGTTATTTAATAATATAGATTTGATTTCTGGTCAGGGACTGGGATGGTTTAACCAATTTCTAATTTTAACTGCCAGAAAACTGGAATGCATGAAAGGACTTGACATGGTAGATTTGTGAAAAAGCAAAAAAAAAAAAAAAAAGATATAAAAAGTTACACAATGCAAAGAATTTTACAAATTAAAATTGAAATGAAACCATATTTTTTTGTTAGGACTTACAGCCGAGTCAGAAAAGATGTGTAAGATTGGATTTGGTATCTGCAACAAAGCTTTTTGTACAAAGCTGGAAAAAAAACAGAATTATCCGCAATAGTGAATTGGACTATGAAAATGACAAAAGTAGCAAACACAAAAAAACTGACATAAAGAGAATCTGTTTGATCAGATACAATGTGTCTTTTGCTACCTTTTAGGGACATTTACTGAAATTGATAAAAATGGCTTGATATCTGGAATTGTTGACTGAAAAGGATTGAATGTGGGAAATGAATTATGATCTAACCTTGCTGGGGGAGGAATGACATATGTAAACTGCCACATTTTTATCTATCATACTTTTTCTCAAATTTCATTTTTTCACGCTAAACTTGTGTTAAAAATTCTATGGTAGTAATGGAATTCTTTCACGCATAGCCAGCAGTTGCCCTAGCGTTACTAGCTTTCATGTAAACTAATAGAAAGGGATTCAGCTCCTTATCATCTTGGCTACTTTGCCAAGGTTTGTACAGTAGGTATATGAACTACATGAAGCATGTAAGAACTTCCATCTATGATGACAAAAAAAAAAAAAAACCAGGAATCTGTTAGTACCTTATAGTGAAACTATGAATCTAAATGAAATTACTTTTATTTTTGGAAAATAAAGCACACAAGTTATTCTCACTGGCTACTGCAAGGTCAAAAGATTTGAGTCCAGGATTATTATTATTATTTTTAAAGTGGGGAAGTTAGGAATTGGGTTTGTTCTGTATTGTATCTAAGCATTTTGAACCCACCCAACTTCACAAATACCTATTATGATCAGATCCTCACCTCTATCCTATCATACAATATTTCTTATACAGATCAGAGGTCTATATTGTCAACTTTTAAGATTTGTGGACTTCAACTCCCAGAATTCTCTGCTGGCTGGAGAATTCTGGGAGCTGAAGTCCACAAGTCTTAAAGTTGCCAAGTTTGGGGACCCCTGGTGTAGATCAATAAAGAAAAAAGGTTGAAGTATAATAACTTTGCAATGCCTTGGTAAGACCACACTTGGAATCCAACCAATCTAGTTTTGGTTGCCACAATATAAAAAAAGATGTTGACACTCTGGAAAGAGTGCAAAGAACAGTAAGGAGACTTGAAGTAAGAGATGAAGAATAGTTGCAGGAATCAGGTGTCTAGTCTTCTGAAAAGAAAAAAGAAAAGAAAAACCAAACCTAGCAGTGTTCAAAAAAAACACCAACAACCCCAAACCTAGCAGTGTTCCAAAATCTAAGGGACTGCCACAAAGGGGTAGTCAAGCTAGTCTCCAAAATACCCGAAGGCAGGACAAACAGCAATGGATGGGAAACTAATCAAGGAGAGAAGCAACCTAGAACAAAGTAGAAATTTCCTGACAGAACAAATTTATCAGTGGAACAGTTTGCTTTCAGAAGTTGTGGATACTAAATCACTTAAGTTTGTAAGAAACTGGACAGCCATTTCTCTGAAATGATATAGGATTTCCTGCTTGAGCAGGAGGTTGGACTGGACGACCTCCAAGGTCCCTTCCAACTCAGTAATTCTTAAATAAAACCAATGTGGATTTACCGTAGTGCCTATGTCTGTTTTGAGGTACCAGAAGTATTTTTAGAATATTTTCCTGACTTTTTAAAGAAGCAGATTCTGAAGATTCCTGTACTAATTATCTTCTACTCTTATTTTAAATGAGATGCAGTTAGCCCAAATAAAAAAAGCACTTATTAAATACACAAATAAGAGTCGTTTGTCTCAAGTTCATTTTTAACACTTTTATTTTTAGATAGTTCCAGAGTAGAACCATACATGCAAAAACTGCATTAGACACAATAGATTTACAGTAGATTCTATTCTATGTTAAGTGTGGAATTTAGAATCTTTTTTTTTACAGTATAAAAAAACTAAACATCAACAGGTTGGAATTCTGATGTAAATATTCCACAGTATTCAGTTCCAAATACCTAGTTACCAGGTACTGTATGATACAGGTGTTCAATTGTGTAACTTCAGAGATTTAACCATAACATTTGCAGAACTGGATTTCCCACCTACTCCCTTTTTCTGTCCACCAGCACAAAATCCTGCCATAAACTACCCAGATAATATTTATTTGCCAATGTACAGGGTTATATATCAAGAAAGGACATTCCCTCAATGGCATCCCACATTACCTAAAAAAGCAAATGTTAACAAAAATAAAAGAATAACATCTTCAAAAAATAAATATAAAGAGGGAATGCAGACAAGTGTAATGAATTTTTCAGCAGGTTAACATTCATAATATACAAACATAACTTATTCAAAGCCAAGGACAAAGGGAATATCCACATTTCTTTCAGATAATTGAGTATTTAATCCACTTCTTCCATACGTGAAGTGTCATCATCTCCTTCCAGTGGTGGCATCTCTTCAGTAACTGCTGGGCTTGTTTCCTCTGTAGTAGCATCATCTTCATCTATGCCTGTATAAAGTGAACACAATTATTACCTTCCCCATGGAAGTATCTCCCAACTGACTCTAAGAAGACACATCCTAATTTTTACTAAGATTAACTTACCCAAACCAAGTTTTATCATTCTATAGATGCGGTTGGCATGTGTCTGAGGGTCCTCTAGACTGAAGCCAGAAGACAAAAGTGCGGTCTCGTACAGAAGAATGACCAGATCCTTCACCGACTTGTCATTCTTGTCTGCTTCGGCTTTCTGTCTCAGTGTTTCAACGATAGAGTGGTCAGGATTTATCTCCAAATGTTTCTTTGCAGCCATGTAACCCATTGTGGAGTTGTCCCTGAGAGCCTGAGCTTTCATGATCCTCTCCATGTTTGCAGTCCAGCCATATGTACTGGTTACAATGCAGCATGGAGAAGTAACCAGTCTGTTGGAAACTACAACCTACAAGAATTAAGAGTACTTAAATCAGGGAAAAGCCCAACCACAATAGAAATCTACAATTATTCCACTTTTGTTGTAAAAAAACATTTTTATTCCAATTTTGAAAACCTTCAGTTGCTACAATCAGTATAGCATACTTGTTTTATAAAGGGGCTGTCTTCACTTACAGGGGGGCGCGCTTAAATATACATACCTTCTCTACTTTCTTTTCAAGAATATCTTTCATGATCTTGCAGAGACTTTCAAACTTGGCTTTCTTCTCCTCCTGTTTCTTTTTCTCTTCTTCATCTTCAGGAAGCTCCAGACCTTCTTTTGTTACTGACACCAAAGTCTTCCCCTCAAATTCTTTCAACTGTTGTACACAATATTCATCAATAGGTTCAATCATATAGATTACTTCCAGCCCATGTTTACGAAGTCGCTCCACAAATGCAGAATTGGCCACCTGATCTTTTGTTTCACCTGAAAGAAAAATTTACCTTCAGCAAAGTTCAACAAAATTTTAACCAATTTATGGTATCAGCTTTTAATGTGAATCTGCCCAAAAACTATGACCATGGTAATGCAAGTAGAGACAGTCAAGAATAAAGCTCTACAATACAAGAGCCGTGGTGGTGCAGCGGTTAGAATGCAGTATTGCAAGCTAATTCTGCTCAATGCCAGGAGTCTGATTCTCACCAGGCTCAAAGTTGACTCAGCCTTCTATCCCTCTGAGGTGGGTAAAATGAGGACCCAGAATGTTGGGGCAATAAGCTGACTCTGTAAACTGCTTAGAGGGCTGTAAAGCGGAATGTAAGTCTAAGTTCTATTGCGATTTCTCATTTAGCAACCATAAGTGAAGTATTTGCTAAGCATCACAGTTCATGGTCTTACTTCAACTTTCCTTTGCTTTACAGACTTGCAAAGGTTTTTTCATAATGACAAATATTTGCTAAATCAGGACTACCTGTAAACATTATCCCAGTTAAACCCCAATTTAAGTAGAAACCAGATGATCTGAAGGTATACTCACCAGTAATGTAGTACACATGCTTCTGATTTTCCTTCATCCGAGTGCAGTAATCCTTTAGTGATACCATCTCATCTCCAGAGGCAGAAGTATAGTATCTTAATAACTCTGACAATTTCTTGCGATTTTGGGAATCTTCATGAATGCCAAGCTACAAAATGGAAAGTTCCATTTTTTGTAAGCTGCATGCAAACATTTATTTTACAATATTGAAGTAAATATTTCAAACCAACAAACCTTAATATTTTTCGAAAACTGCTCATAGAACTTCTTGTAGTTTTCTTTATCTTCTGCCAGCTCAGTGAACAGTTCTAAACATTTCTTGACCAAATTCTTTCGAATCACTTTCAGGATTTTGCTCTGCTGAAGCATTTCACGTGAGATGTTCAGAGGCAAGTCTTCTGAATCAACAACACCTCTCATGAAATCTGTAAATAAAATTATAACCATGTTTTTTTTATTTCTGGGGGTAACTTAGAAAACCTTTCAAGATACATAGGTTTGTAAGGTAAACTTTAAAAATTCACTTATGAGGTTAAAGTGGAACAAGTTACCCATTATAATAAAATGCAAGGTTTCTTTTTCAGAAAATTTCCTGCCTTCATTCCATTATCTTGTCAATAGTGTTATGCTTTCCCCTTCTAAAAATGGAATACTGACTCAATGTATGTTTTATTTGTGTGCTGATTTTTTCAAATAGCTGCTGCACTTAACTAGATTAACTATGACCTGACAGGCCCTTTATCTTAAGCACAAAGAAGAGTAACTATTTTTGACCCTGTAGCAACCTGCAACTTTTAACAGATAAATAACTACTTACTCAAGTATTCAGGGATTAACTCTTCACAATTATCCATGATAAAAACTCTGCGTACATATAACTTGATGTTATTCTTTTTCTTTCTGTTTTCAAATAAGTCAAAAGGTGCACGCCTTGGGACAAACAAAAGTGCCCTGAACTCAAGCTGTCCTTCCACAGAGAAGTGCTGCAAAGTTAAGGAAATTCATTAGCAAAAATCTTTGGCATAGAGTATCAAACACTATTATAAAATGAAATTTTAACATCAAAGGATTTAATTATTTGAATTTTACAATAATAGTATCAGATAGAAGATATTCTTCTAAATTTATGTTTGAACATTGGGGACTATTTTCGTATTATTTTAAAGTGTTTACTTACAAAAAGGGTCAATATATTTTAAACACAAGCCACCTTAGATTTTGATACTACCAGTTTTGTCAGTTCAAATTTCACCTAAAATTCATAAAGAACAAATGGCCCATCCCCAAAAGAATAAATAAACTTACTTTGACTGCTAAGTGATCTTCCCAGTCATTAGTCAGACTCTTGTAGAATTCACCATATTCCTCATTAGTAATATCATCTGGGTTTCTGGTCCAAATTGGTTTGGTCTTGTTCAGCTCTTCTTGGTCAATATACTTCTCCTTGATTTTCTTCTTCTTTTTCTTGTCACCATCCTTCTTTTCTTCTTCCTCATCAGAACCAACATCTTCAATCTCTGGTTTATCTTCAGGCTTTTCTTCTTTCTCTTCCTTCTCCTCTTCTTTCTCTTCTGCCTCATCATCACTCACCTCTTTGTCACGCTCCTTTTCTACCTATATATATATTAAGCATATAAAAACAGAAAAAGGTTAGAATTCTGATAGAGAAAATTTAAGAAACAATTCTCTGAAAGATAATTCACTGATAAATATAAGACAAAATTCTGCATAAACTTCAGGACAATCTTTTGTTCATATTAAATGCTTACTATGAATTTAATTTGCTTCTAGTATTGCTAATGAAGCACAGTTGTCAAATTGCTCCAATAAGTATATTGGCCTCTATGCAGTTAAATTTAACATTATCGCCTTCAGAGCAATTCTTCATTTAGGTAAATACAAAGGTTCAGATACTATTTTATTGAGAATATGTGACTCACAAACAATGTTATCGGATAGCCAATGAACTGGGAATGTTTCTTGACTATTTCCTTAATTCGTCTTTCTTCCAAGTATTCAGTCTGGTCTTCTTTCAGATGCAAAATAACCTTCGTACCACGACCTAGAGGCTCACCTGTAAAAAAAATTATTCTTAACTACTGTTGCACCAAAAGATCCATAAAATAAGGGATCAATTTTTAAAAATGAACATTAATAGTTCAAGACATACATTAATCTAGATTACAGCAATAGCAAAAAATATCTAGTCTTTAATGCATTATTCATAGCACTATTCTTTTGATGTTTAAATTTAAGCAATTATTATAGGATATAAATTTAGTAACATTTTATTTCCCCATTACTTCCAAACCTGACCTCAGCTGCTGTTTAGATTTTTCCCCTGTTAATTCTTAAAAGTTAGTCATTTATTGTAATTGGACTCTTACCATTGTCCAATCTGACTGTGAACGATCCACCAGCTGAAGATTCCCAGGCATACTGTTCATCATCATTGTGTTTGGCAATCACTGTCACTTTCTCAGCCACCAAGTATGCAGAATAGAAGCCAACACCAAATTGGCCAATCATAGAAATATCTGCTCCAGCCTGCAAGGCCTCCATAAAAGCCTTGGTGCCAGACTTGGCAATGGTACCCAGGTTATTTATTAAGTCAGCTTTGGTCATCCCAATGCCAGTATCCACAAGGGTCAGCGTACGGTCTTGTTTGTTAGGAATAAGATTTATCTTCAACTCCTTTCCAGAATCCAATTTGCTTGGGTCTGTCAAACTTTCATACCGGATTTTGTCAAGAGCCTGCAAAACATGAGACAGCCATTGAATAAATAATAATGATGATATAAATATTTTCTAGATCCTTAGAAATTGTACTTACATCAGAAGAATTAGAGATCAACTCCCTGAGAAAAATTTCCTTGTTGGAGTAAAAGGTATTGATAATCAGAGACATCAATTGAGCAATTTCTGCCTGGAAGGCAAAGGTCTCCACTTCCTCCTCCATTGGTTGATCCTGTGTCTGAACTTCCTCTGGCATCTATCAAAAAAAAAAAAGAAAGCCAAAATTGATTTTCTAACACTTGGAAATTAACATATTGCATGGCATAGTATATACTTATTATTTCTAGTGTAGATTTAAAAGCATTTAAAATAGCTTCAACCATCGGGAGGATCTAGTTTCAGTACCTGCTTCGATAAAAATGAAGTAATGTGCTTATTATGGCTGTCGAACTCATCAAACACTTGGGTGGGCATGAAATAAGTTCCATTTTACAAGTTATTATTGGCAAGGTGGGAAATGGCACCAAAATGAAAAGAGGGGAACACAAAAAAAAAAAGACGTGCATAAGCACACCAACGTGCCTACCGTCCCTGTCCTATTGTTTCTCTTATTCTTTTATTTTTCTTATATGTACCCATTTCATGTATTCACAACTATGTATACGCTTATACTTATTATCTTGTAAACAATTGGCAAATCAAATAAATAAATAAATAAAAATAAAACATGCAAGTCAGTAGGGGGAAAATGTCCGATCCCTGGTGGTTTGACCCACCCACAAAGTAAGCTGAAGGCGCTCAGGCTGAGGGAGCCTCAAGGATTCTCCACAAGCCAACAAACCTTCTGCGCCACCTGCTGGCGGCCGAGCCAAACGAGGAGGAATTCTAGAAATTGCTAGAGTCTTCTTGCTCCCACACATCCGTTTGCCCCCCCGCCTTCTCTTCTCTCCCCACCCCCCCCCCCCCCCGGCACGCGCCGCCAGGAGCCAATTCTCTCGTTGACGCGGAGGCTGGTCGGTCGCGCGCCGCCAAACTCAGGAGAAGCGGCTCCTCTCTCGGCGTCCGCCTTCCCTTCCTCTCCCCCCACGACAGCCGCTTTCCTGGCCTCCTTTCTCGGCCGAGAACATTCGTCGTCGTCGTCCTGCCCCCCACCTCCCCGGCGGCCATGCAAGCTCTTCCCCATTCATTCCTCCGTCCTCCTTGTTCATACGACCGAAGGCAAAAACAACCCCTTCCGCTTCTTTTGTAAGCAAATCTTGACGGAAAAAGCAGCAAGGTCGCTCCTCATGCCCGCGCGTGTGTGTGTGTGTGTCCCTCCTCCTTTCTAAAGTATAACTTGTCTTTCCCTCAGAGCGACCGCTTCTCGTTCCTTCTTTCATTCTCCCCCCACACACAACCGGACGTCGCTCCCCGTGAGGGGTGCGGGCCAAACCGGCCGCTCCGCCTGGCTTTTTAGGTCTCCGCTTGTTTCGGTTGAACGTCAGCTGTTTAAGGCCTCAAAGTAAACCCGCCGTCCTTGGGGCCCTCTTGAGGGAAAGGCAGCTCTACTTTATGCGGGGGGGGGGGGAAACCCTGAGCTTGCCTCGCAAGCGGCCGCGTCCTCACCTTAACCGTGGTGTGAAATCACCAGCTGCACGACCGTTCGCCGAAAGAACCCGCACCTCCGTAACTCCTCACGAGCTGCACTGCGCGGAGCCCCCGCCTCCCGCGCGCCTTATATACCCACGCCGCCGCCTCTTTCCAGAACCATCGGGAACCTTCACTGACAGAGAGGGAAGGGAGGGCGGAGAAAAGGGCGGGCTTTCTCCCGAACTTTCTCCGGCGAAAGAAGGGGGGTGGAGCCAAACAAGAGAGTGGGTGTTTTCCACTGAATGGAGGGATAGCCTACGTATAATGTCAGTTCAATTTCTTAGTCTTTATGAGCGAGAGAGCTCGATCTTCCCTGTACTGGACAGTCAAAAGTCCGGAGCGTCAAAACTCCTCACGATTTAGTATGCATCAGTCTACTACTACCTGTACGTGCGAGTGCTTTGCCCCCCACCTTGCCCGCTGCCGTTCTTAAGGTGCCGGAGGGGGGGAACAGCGCATGCGTGAAAACGCTAACTACTTGCGTTCTCTGTGCCGGCTCCCTTGCCATTGGCGCCTGTTCAAGGCGGGAGGCTTGGGGGAAGGAAACTGGGCAAGCAGACATAATGACATCATCACCGCTGCTCAAATCAATGTGGCTCTGGCCCCGCCCTCCTCCGCGGGCCCCCGGAGCTTGGAGACCCTGAGGGGGGGGGGGGAGGAAGGATTAAACTTTCGTGGTGTGTTTTTTTTTTCCCCAGGATGACCTTCCCTGCTAAAAGTGGCGGGAAGGGATTGACGTTTCCTTTCTCCCTACCCACCCTCCAGATGCCTCCAGAATTGTCTAGAAGCTCCGTGAAGCCATGGTGGCATTTTTCCAGCAATGGAAAATCAGCCTTTTCTTTTAGGAGTGGGGCCTCGGTGGGACTTTCTCTAGTCAAATGGGATTGCCCTAAACTTCCATCATTTACTTAGGAAAGAGTACAGCTAGTCCTGAACTTACAGCAGTTTATTATAGTGACCGTTCAAAATTACTACAGCACAAGTGCAATGACTTTTGACCATTTTTCACATAACCTTTGCAGCATCCCCATGGTCAGGTGATTTATATACAAATAAAACTTGACAACTGGTTCATATTTATGACGGTTGCAGTGTCCTGGGGTCATGTGATCACCTTTTGTGACCTTCTGACAAGCTAAGTCAATGGGAAAGCCAGATCTGCTTAACAAGGGTGTAACTAATTTAACAACTACAGTGATTTACTTAAAAGTCATAAAAAATCAGGCAAAGCTCACTTAACAAATTTCTCTCTTAGGAACAAATTCTGGACTCAATTGTGGTTGTAAGTCAAGGACTACCTGTATTGCATGCTTTTGTCCAAACCGTCTAGAGAAACAGATTGAGAAAACTCCCTACTCTAGGGAGTTTTCTTAACCTGGCATGGTGGGAGTTCTTACCTGGTCTTTAAGGCTCCATTATTAACTTTTAATACAAGTGATATTAACATTTTTAGCAAGGCTCTACTTCATTTTGAAGTTTAGGAAACCATGATTTTATTAGTCAAAACCATTTCCTTTGATGTGGAAAAACTAACATTTATATAGGGAACACATTCTGAAGTCTTTTAGGGTTGAAACATTTTTGGATGGGAAAGGAGGGGATGCAACATGTTTTTTCTCATACCTAATTAATGTCTTTTGTTACTTAATTTGTTGCTTTGACATATTGTTACCTGAATATCATACATAAATACACATATATGTATGTAATGTTTTCTGTATGCTATATAAATGCTTGATCCCTCTTAATAAAATGTTTTTTGCTTTGTCTGAAGTATTTCTGGTTTGTATTGGGGGGGGGGGGGGCATGCGAAATGGGGAAGCCACTTTGCAAAGAGATTGTTTCTCAAATCCAGGAACTAGGTTCTTTCCAGCTGTATGCTACTCTGGTGCCCAAGTTTTAAAGGCAACAGGACAGCCACTGAATGTCTGATGTCATCTACTATGGGGTCACTTGATTTCACCTTTTGACATTATGAGAGATAAGCATTCCACACTTCATGACCTTTGCTGTTGAATATAGTTGACTATACAATTTCAATAATAATAGAACTAAGGATGATTTAAGTTTACTGTACTTCACCTATGAACTGGGAATGAAATGAAAATAATGACACGTTGACACAGCAGAATGAATACTTTACCAGGGCATATTTGAATTCCCATTGAGATGCCAAAAGGGAAAATTTCACAGTCACCTTTAAGTTAAGCTCAGCTGTTGCCAGAGAGAAATAAATAGGTGCCTTGTAAATTGCTTCAGTTTTCTCCCAGCAATAAGGACCAGGGAACTACAGTTCATTTTATCTTTATTTTCTCAGCCTAATTTTCTCCACAAACTAGCTTCATGGGTGGGGTTTGCATGGCATTTTAAAACAAGGTTGGTTGTGTTATTCATCGTTATTGAACATGGTCATGGAGTCTTATATATAATTTGCTTTTCTTTTTTGTAGGTTGCACCCTTCATCAAGCTCTTACATTTTTAAGGCAGCATACAACTATCCCAAAAGAAACTACCCCAAATCTTATCCACTCTAACTTTTTAGCTTTATTTGCATGTGATGTTTGAAAATCCAGTTTCTTATATTTGTATAATACACGGAACTTAAAACTTATCACACAGACTAGGTTGAAGCTAGATTAGACCTGGCCAGTTTACAATCCAATGTGTTGTTGAACCTAGATTCAGGAAGGCCAAAAACAGAATGCTAATCAACGAATGAATGGATGATGTAGCTGTTCCTTTCAATGCCTTGCTACTACTACATCACAGAGAGTGTTCAAGTAAGTACTGATTTACCTGTTTATAATTTCAAAGCAGCACCATGGGCTCACTTTTGGTCACAGAAAGGATAATTAGGAGAGGAACATTTGTTACTTGCATGCTTTTCTTTCATGACTCCTCAGGGAAGGACTAAGACAATAAGAAGCTGCAGAATGGGAATTCCAAGGACCTTCCTGGCTAGAAATGGTATTTCCTCCATGCAAAATAAGGAACTGAAGGAGAGATTAGTCTACTGTTTGATGATATGGCAGATAAAAACTAGAAAAAAATATGTCACCCTTATTGAATGCAGTAAGCACAAAAAAAATTAAAAATCGTATTTGAGAGATCTCTTTTTCTAAAATATTGTGCAATCCTCTTGTTCCCCTTCAAAAATAAATCGTGTTGAATTTAAAGTGGCTTATTTCCTTGGCAAATACATATAGATCTGTAGGCTTATTACTCCATTTGCTCTTCCCAAAATGTTATTTTACATAGGAAACAACCAAAATAAACTGAAAGAATTATTCATTTGTCCTTTTTTTAACTGAATACTGAATTTAGAAGGGTATTAATAAACTGTCTTTTAGAAATTTGGAATTTTGATTTACCTACAATGGATGGTAGTAACTGTTCAGGATTTCATAATGTTAGCAAAATACAGCTTCCTAGGCTCATGCCTCGGCATTCATAATTTCCAATGAAACAGACCAAGACATTCTGACTAAAAAGGATTCCTCTCATTCAGAGGGAACCTCGATCCTCAGCTCTCAGTTCCTCTCAGAGTGAACACATCAAAGAAAATGCAAGAGAAAAATTGATTGGACAAAAGTAACTCCTTCTTTGCACAGTAAATCAGCCTCATGGAGTCAAACAGGAATTAAACATATTACATATAACGACAATATGTCCATTTAAATGAGATCTGGCAAAAGCAGGGTGTTAAATTTAAGATGTTAATGAGGAAAAAAGTTCGAAGTTGTTTGGAGTTCACTGAGACAAACCAGATACTAATTATTCAGGGGTGGGCTTCAAAAATTTTAGCAACCAGTTTTCTGCCCAGTTCCTGGGTGGCCATGGCTCTGGTGGGTGTGGCCAACAAGAACTTCCAGGAGGGCCATTTTTCGCCCTCCCCAGGCTCCAGAGGCTTTCCTTGAGCCTCCAGGAGGGCGAAAATGGCCTGGAACCTCCAGGAGGCCCATTTTTCGCTCTCCCCGAGCCTCCATCTGGGCCCTGTACTTACCTGGCATCCAATACAGGCTGTGTGCAGACTCCTGGGAGGGGCAGGGTGGGCAGGGCTGCCAGGGGTGGCATCTGTGGGTTCGCTGAACTGGACAGAATCCTAGCTAGAGCAGTGATCCCCAACCTTTTTTATGCCGCGGCCGGTACCGGCATCAGCTGGGCGCTGCGGCCCGGTACCGGCATCAGCTGGGCGCCGCCATCTTTTTTTGATGAAAAAGTGCTTCCGGTGACCTCACCGGAAGCACTTTTTCATAAAAAAAGATGGCGGCGCCCAGCAACCAGCGGCCTGGTAGGACTTGTTCCGTGGACCGGTACCGGTCCGCGGACCGGTGGTTGGGGACCCCTGAGCTAGAGGATCGCCAGAACCCGTGTGAACCCGCAGCAGCCCACCCCTGCAATTATTGCTAAACTTTCTTTTATCAGAAGACAGACTCCAGATATCCCATCCTATCTTGACCTGGGGGACAAACACAGGTTTTTTTTGTCTTGATGTTTAGAAATGTTAGATGCTATCAATCAAACTATTAACATCTTTTTAAAAGAGAGAAAAATGTCACATAAAATACAAAATAACTATGTTAGCAAGTACAACAATACTACAAAGTCCATGTTGTTGATACTACAAATTACATCCTGTGTGGCTCTTTATAAAGTGTCCCCCCCCCCCCATTTTCAAGATGCCAAAAATTACATATGAGATTATTTGTATGCAATGTTCACCTCTGAGTAGATTCCCTTTGCTGTTAGGGATTCCCATCCTGACAAGAAAAGGATATGAAACTACATTAATGCAACCGTGTTAGCTTTTCCTAACAACTTATATCCCTAATTCTCATATGAACATTGTAAGAGATCTACACATGGATTTGAAAGAGAATTCACTGTATCTAGAATTTCAAGCACCTTACGCGACTCTTATTTTATTCTATGTAGGTATTATGTGAAACCAGCAATCTGTTAAACTTCCTGATGCATGAATAAGGATGAATGCTGGTTTGGAACAGATCCTGTGTATATACACTGCTCTGCAAAGATATTATATAAAACCCATTTTATATAAACCGACACCAAAGAATCGGCTCCAACAGAAAGAGAACTAAAAAAAAG